GCACTCGCCATATCTCTCTTTCAATTCCAGCCATAAATCCTTCGCTGATTTTGTATAGATAAAAGCTTCGACAATATCTTTGGCAATGGAATTTAGCAACCAAGATCTAACCATACAGTCAACACGGATCCATTGCTCAATTTTAGACGTATTTTCAGTGGGTTTATCACATTTTCCATCAATGAAGCCCAATTTCATTTTTGCTCCTAATGCTATGATGATAGATCTACTCCAGCTAAGATAGTTTTTACCTGTTAATACTGAGGTAACAAGGATCATACCAGGATGATCCGAATTTTGAAGATCTAACGGATCTCTGTTTGAATATTCCTTTTCAGCTGTTTCATATTCGGTTTCTGAACCGGACGAATTCTGCGCCATATTACACTCAGCAAATCGATTTGTTTTGAAATCAAAATTTTGATTTCACAGCTGTCTCTGATACCATGTGCAAAAACCAGCTGAAGAACAATTATAGAAATCTAATTTTATTTTTAATCTGCAAATCTACTACGAGAAGGAAACTCTCGTAGTATATATATAGAACAAGAACCAGCTATTGTCCAATGGCTGATGGACAGCACACCAAGGAATGTCAGTGAACAAAACAGAAAACAAACGGAATTAACAAAAACGTAAAACTTGAAAACACGACTTAAAGCAAACATATCTTCAGCCAAGTTGTGAAGTCCTTCCTGTATTTATTCCTTCAATATATTGTTAACCGAGCTTCTCTAAGTCGAAGCAAAGAACATATCTCAACCATAAAAAATGTAATTCCTTTGAATTATCTTCAATTGGTATCACCTAAACTAGTTAGTGTATGAGTTCATTTCTTATTTGATTCGTTCTTGTATAATGCATCTATCTTGATATCTTCATTCTGTGCTACGCTTTATCCTAGGGACATTTTTGTCCTTTAATGGTCAATTCTTACAAGAAATTTGACTTTTATTGACGAAATTTCTATCTTCAAAGGTCTCTCGACAACCATTTTGATGAAACAGCCTAAAAGTGACTTTTCACGATAAAAATAATTTTATTTAAAAGTGAAACTTTTTGCAGTGGATGATCACTATCATCAATCATAGGTAGAAAATAGAAGAGCAAATAAACATTGGAACAAGTGAATCAAATAAAGTTCAAAGTAGTAGATGCTCAAGTCTTAATTATCTCTCTGGTTATTCCTTTCCATGACGCCCATCGGCTGAGTCTCTCTTAATATAGCACGTGCTCTGTCAATTCCTACGTTAAATAATTTCTAAAANTTCCTATGTGGGATAAAGTTCACACACTTGATTTTAAATTTCAGGATTTTTACTTTCAAGTTGCCAACTTCTAGTATTAATTTCTCATTCATCCGGAAATGGTTTTGTGAAATCAAATATATCACGAATATCTACGCGCGGAATAGAATGAGTTTGCCCATTGACCCACACAAAATGGATACCGGGTCCCACCCTGATTATTGGTCAAACTTGACCCATTTCCAACAGGCGGAAACGAAGTAAGTCAAAGATTTCTTAAGCACAAAAGAAGTTAGAAACTGGAGTATTAACTGAAACAAGATCAGAATGTAAAACTGAAAAAACGTAGGAGGGACTCCAATAATTATCTTTTAGAACAAGTGTGATTAGTCCCACCTATGTTTCCAAGAATTGAGACGAGCAAAATATTTGTAAAAGAAGTGTCTAATTAGAAAAAAGAAGCCAACAGAAAATTTGTAAATTCTAATTTGCGACCTGTTACCAGGTAAACCTATTGGATTCGCATATTAGTGTGGGAGCCATTTTCTTTGAAGTCACTGCACAGATCAATCAGGGACCAGTTCCAAAATATCAAATGACCAATCCAGGAATTGAGACAAGCAAAATATTTGTAAAAGAAATGTCTAATTAGCAAAAGAAGCTAACATAAAATTTGTAAATTCTAATGTGTGACCTGCTACCAGGTAAACCTATTAGATTCAAATATTAGCGTGGGAGCCAGTTTCTTGGAAGTCACCGCACAGATCAATCAGGGACCAGTTCCATAATATCAAATGACCAATCCAGGAATTGGCTACAGCCATTGTATATATTTTTTACCGGGTTATCACCATTTGTGCTAATTATTTCTTTCCAGATTATCAAATGTGATCACGCCACTGATGGGGTACTGAATGAAAATACATAATAAATCATACACATAACAATGTTAATTTTCTGGTCATTCCTTTTCATATTGTCAATTCAGTGGGAAAAAGGGACATGGTGCACGAAAATGCTATGGGCTCTTTCCTCAACGGTGACATATTCTGATGGCTGACCATAGTACTGTTTACACCCCTCAAACTGGTACTTGTCTCATGGATTCTGGGGTGTCTCATCCTGTCACTGGTGATCTCTCGGCCTTTTCCATCCGACAAAAATACAATGCCCCCGTTGATGTGGTAACTAGCGAAGGTTCAGGTCTTTCTATAACTGACGCTGGCTCTACTCCTAAAAATATATTGCATGTTCCATCCATTCAAAAGAATTTAATATCTGCTTCTAAATTTAGTAAAAGTAATCAAACTTCTATCGAATTCTTTCCTAATTTCTCCTTGTGAAGAATTTACGAATTTACAGTCTTGTTTATGAATAGCACGGTGACACCAGACTATTTGACACACTCCAGATAAAACAGATATTTTAATTGTACAAAATTAAGCACACCAAACTCTATAGGTTTTTAATTGTCAATCAATTGGTTAGAAATCGTTCAAAATTCTATCAAACTATATATAACCTCTTTAAGGTAAGGGAAATTTTGGAATATTAGAATCAATTGACATCACTTTCAACCGTTATAATATGCTAAGATTTATTGAGGTCACTTACAACCGCTATAAAATATTAAAATTATTTTGCTTGCAAATAGACCACACTCTACATTCGAATTCCTACAACTCAAAACTTATCTAGAAAGCAATTTTTTTTTTGTGTGTGTGAAGAAAAAGTTTGCAAGAGTACAAACAAACAAATATTTTTTTTCCGGGGCAGTTTGTGCAGCTTCACATCCTCAATGCGAGAAGTTAATTCTACACTACAAATACAACACCGATTCAACTTAAATGACTATAACACCCTCACCTACGCAATAAATTCTCTTTTTGGGAATCTTCTGAATATGGTGGAGTTAAAAGACGTTTTGGAATAAGAGGAGGGCAAAATGGGAAATTAATTAAGGTGCGATATTCAAAAAGTAGTAAACGAAGATGTTGCAACCATCGTGTGAGATCCATAATTTATTTATTTTAATCACAAAAAGTAGAGGACCCGTTGTATTTATAAGCGCACACAAACTTGTGCTTAATTAATAGTAGTAGTAGATACAAATACATAACAATGAATTGTTTCAGATGATTTAATAAATAACCACGGATACGTGTCTTTTAGTACTTCAACCCGAGTAGCTAACTCTCTATACACTACAATGGCACCACCAAAACATCTTACCAAATTTGTCCTTTTATGTTGATGAAATCTAAAAAATATATATTCTTCTATCACAACTCTTACGTGACCCTTAAGAGTTTAGTAGTGCACGGAATTTCCTTGCAACCTTTATTGCTTTCAAAGTTTAAACTATTTTTCATTTCTTCAATTCTTTCTATCGAAAGATAGACATTAGGATGTTTGTGGTTCATTACGACATTATAGGTTTAACAAAATTGTCCTAGAGTTAATAAATAGATCCATTTCCTTGGATTCTCTATATCTATCTCTATACCAATATGGACAAGATTCAATAATATGCATATATTTTCATCGCTATACTCAATAATGTTGTTCCAATATTAAAACACTGTGAATAATCTTGCGAGAAATATCACCCTTCTATGATAAAGACATCAAATTAATTTTGATGACCCACAAGTCATCTACGAATATCACCCTTCTATGAATGCATGAAAACAAACCCCCGAAGGAAGTAGAACCAAACATAAAAACAGTTATTGCTAGAGCCGGATTTTGCAAGGAGTTCAAGTCCCAGTCTGTCGTAGCAATGTTACCTGAAGTATGTCTATGATCTGTACATTCATGAGCAGAAGTGAACTATCTGAGAAAGATAGATTATGGGGAAGTATACACTTCTATCGCACATTTCTTTCTGTTTTATTCCATGTTATTAAAAAGAAATAAAAATTTCCCAATTACAATATCAAGAGTCTGTATAGTTGTTTGAACAATGATCATCAAATTAAAGTTGTTTGGAGTGGAGAGTTTCGTTTTATAGAAAGAAAAAGTTGTAATGAACCATACCTACTGGCTACTTCACTGCAAAATGCTGGACAAACGCTTTTGAATCAATCTCGTCATACACCTTATAAAATGTCGATACATTAATTCCAAAATCAAAATTAATGACTTAAAAAACCAGATTATCAATCCTAAGTAGCAGCCTGCCTAAGAAGATAAGAAAAACATTGCAAGATCTCCTAAGAAAAATATTGCTAGTCGAACCTTCTGCCTGCAGCCTGAAGTGCCTGTAGATATTATAATGAAACAAGATGTGCAAAACATAGCACGGCAAAGTTCAATTGGAAATGTAGTTAACTTATATTCGCTAGCTTATTTTATAGCTGAAACTGTTTTTATAAAACGTCAAACTGCACCAGTCTGTGCATTTCTTTTATTTCATCTTCTCCACAACCACGTTCAATGGGATCGGCAATGTGAATGGTCTTTCCAATTAACCTTTGTCTAAGAGTTGTGCGACTAGTCCAGTGCTGCACACTGCTACAATTAATTCTTTTTCTTCCAAATTACTAAGCCAATTTCGCATTACATTAAATTTTAAACTACATTACTATAAATAAAATTTAATTTCTTTTCCTTTGATGCTCCTTCATTTTATTCTAACCAACCAAATAATCAAATAAGAATAGCTACTGAGGCGCATATAACTCGTTCAAAACCCCAATACCACCTACTTCGCTTAACGCCGGCTTTTGAGGTTTACTAATTACGGTAGCTATGGCATTGGCTGCAATAGAAAACCTTGGCCCTAATTCAGCACACGACTTCCCAATTAGACCAGTAATTGCACAACATTCCATTTCACCTTTAGGGTTTACTATAACAGCGGCATTATCTTTGAAAAACAAGTAAACCCCATCATTTAGCCACCACAGCATACTTTGCCACACTATAACTGCAGGCATCCTTGTCTTTCTCAGGCCAGGCTTGCCCCCTTCACGGTGGTCTTCACCATATTATTCTGCAAGCCAAAGGAAGCTGGTTCAGCCGGCCATTGATCTCCTTAATGAAGATGATATAAAGATTTTACACGCCGTGTTATCAGTGCAGTTCACTATCATCGCCTTCGTCACACCCGGCAGGAACTTATTAATGGCCGATCCTCCCGCCCTCACTTGACATTTTTTTGTGTGCTGCCTGTAAGTACTGCTGATGAGAGAAGAACTTATTGTATGATATTGTTACTTTGACTTCGAACCATGTAATTTATTTTTGAAATAATTATTAGCAATTTCAATTTTCCCAGAGCACAAGTACTTTGTGATTGATTGGATTGAACAAATTACATTTCCAAGCAACAGCGTCTTTTTCTCCATTCACATACTTTTGCAAGTCGAACATTGAGCTCACAAGAATTATAGCAAAGCTAGTTGTAGAAAACACGGCATAAACATTACTAAAGCATTTCCTTGAGGAGATACAGTCTAACTATTGGAATTTGTGTGTGACCCGAATTTCTTTGTTAAAATGTTTGAAGTATTGAATAATTCTAATTGAAGTGTATGTCATGAAAAATTCAAATATGGAATGTCATTGGAGTTCAATATCAAGTTGAAGTTCTATTTTGGATGTCAATTGGGAGTTAAAAATTGATATTAGACTTGAAGAAAAGTTTGGAATGGAGAAGAACATCATTGGAGGCATTTTGGAAACTTTTGGGAGGTAACTCGGTGCCTAGGCGCTAGCTTGCTATTTTTCAACAAGTGCCAACCTTTGGGTACCCCGACACTTAGGCGCCCGGGGTGTAGCGCCTAGGCGCCACTGTCTCTGTTCCGATTTTTTCTCTTCTATTTCGTTTGGACTCGATTTTTTGGCATTCTATTTCATTAACAACTCTACCAAAAGGGTTTGGACGTCTCCTACATATTCCCTATAAATACTAGACTATTCTATACAATTTTGTAATTTGAGAAAATATATTACTAGAATTATATGATCCATTGTAATTTTCTCTCTTCTCCATTATTTTTGAATCAATAAAATCTCTTAATTCCTCTACTATATTCTTTTCTTCTTTTATTTTTTTTGTTCTTGATTAAATACTTCATTATTTGTCATATATCTTCAACAATTCATTCCGGTATTTGGGTTTCACAACAAGTGGTATTAAGTAATACATAATTCTTGTATTTCTAACATTGTTATCAGTTATCCGGGCACATTATATTTCTTCTAACAAGAAATATTTTGGTTGTTTCACAATAATAACAACATACAACAACTCACTTCGAGCAATTACGACTCAGATTTTCTGTTCCTAAACAAAGTGATACAACCATTATACAACTAAAGCACCCATTCGTTTAGATATCATACAACAGCATGCTATAAAATCACAATTAACAGACACTATTTGAACATCGACCTGTATTTATGCTATGATATCAGAGACTATGCTTACAATCCAACACCAAGCTTTTCAAACTGGTTTGCCCTCGTGCGTATCACTGTTGTCCACACCACTTTCAACAGAATCAGCAATATGAATGGTCTTTCCAAACAGCTTGAATGAATTGACGACAACCTTTGTCGAAGAGTGGTTTCCTTGTAGTCCCACTAGTTCACGGATGCTGTTCTGAACAATGAGTGACAACTTCTCAGAACTTAAATTTCCATTATTAGCCAATGTCGAGACAGTGCTCGGTTCAAGTTCCACAACATTTTCAACTGGATCAGTAAGGACTTTATGGGAACTAGCATTCTGATCTAATCTTGCTCCCTGCAAGCTTGCACTAGAATGAGACTTATCGGATGATGACAAGTTCATATGTCCAGCTGATGAATTACACGACTCATTCATGTGGAAAATCTCTTCCTCTTCATCAAGTAGAATCCCAGAGTTTTGCTGAGATTTGAGTTTCTTTGAAGGATGAAGTTGTGGGGTGGACAGAACATGTTCAACTTCCCAAGGGCTTACAGTGTTCATATTCTGCATAATTTCTGGTTGATCCCATGTCACCTGCAACTGAAAATCATGAAAATTTGGAACCAATCTAAAAAATTAGCATTCTTATTTCCGTATTTGAAAGTTAAACTTTATGAGGGCCAAATAAAATGTTTTTCACTGATTAGATCGTAGGAAGACTAAATCTGTAAAATGAACAGATTATTTACGTACTCGAGTACAAACAAGATGCAAATTTAGTAATATAAACACAATCGTCGTCAACTGCATTCAACAGTTTTAAAAATACAAATTTTGATCCATGATCTATAAATTAATCGAAGGATATTTCATACAAACCAAACACCAACATCTTTGAGCCGTAATTTATGATCCAACCAAATTACACGTGTGACCTAAACACTTGATTACAACAAAGATTATAACAGATAGCCTTCGTTATTATATTGGATCCAATCAAGTCGAGCATACATTTACACTAAACCCTGACAAAACCTATAACGACAAGCATATGAAATTATGACTACGTCAGGGGCAGAGGGGAGGTGGGGGGGGGGGGGGGGG